GCACCTCCTGCTGCAGTGCAGCACGGCGCCGGCTTAGCTGCTGCTGCTCGTCTGCTGCTGCAGATAAACCTGAAGAATCCCACCAATGCTGGAGCATCGAGAGCGCCCTTCTTATGGGTGCGCATGTTGGGGTCTTGCTGCATCCCTCCTGCTGCGGCATCTGTTGTTGCTGTTGTTGCTGCTGCTGCTGCTGCTGCTGGCGCTGCATTTTCCATGCTCTGCAGCAAGGAGATTCGAGCTTTGCTGCGGCTGTTGCGCGCAACTGCGCATGCAGCAGCCGAAACTTCGCCATCTGCTGCAGCAGCACCTCCTCCTGCTGCGGTGTCAGGACAGCAGCAGCCAACAGTGCCAGCCTTCTCTCGACCACCTCAAGGTCTGCCTTAGAGTTAGATGCAGCAGCAGCAGCAGCAACACCTGCTGCATTTGCTGCACCAGTAGCAGCGGCGGCATGATCTTTGCTGCTGCTGCTGCTGCTGTTGTTGCTGCTGCTGTTGCTGCTGCTGCTCCCGTCCTTGCTGTCGCTGCCTGCAGCAGCCACAGCGCGTGCATCCAGGGCAAGGTAAGAGAAGGGGTGATCAGCAAAGAATTTGTAGAGTAGCATCCGCGAGATGCGCAGCAGCTGCAGCACGGAGGCGCCCTGGTCCAGCAGCAACTCCTGAAGCTCTTCTATAGCTGCTGCAGGCAACACAAAGAGGCTGCTTGCGGGGCAGCACAGCAGCAGCTGCAGCAGCGCATCGTGTACAGCAGACGGACGCAGCAGCACTGCTGCATCGAGCTGCAGCAGCCTCAACGCTTCAGGCTCCAGCAGCTGCTGCACAGCAACAGCAGACGCTGCAGCAGATGCTAGCACCATCACGGGGACCCCATGCTCAGACCGCAGCAGCGACAGCAGCAGCAGCAACTGCGAAAGAACTCGCGGTGAAAATGCCTCCAACTCCTCCAGCACAATCACCAAGATGCTCCTGCTGCTGCTGTTGTCGCTGCTGCTGCTGCTGTTGCGGCGGCGGCGGCGAAGAGGGCTCCTGCTGCTAGACTTCTGTCCGGGGCTACGGTTGCTGTCGTCGCCACTCTCAGCCGAGGAGCTCTCGCTGCTGCTGCTGCTGCTGCTTC